AATATGCTGACTCTGTAAACCACTTAGAGAGGGCCGTAAAGTACTGTGAAGCTGTTTATAAGTCTAAGTGCTGTTGTCATTGTTATCTGTATATGCTGTTTTAGGAAAGTCATTTTCATTTTCCTTCCTTTACACATAGGTGTAATGTTTTTTCCCAAAGACTGGTTTTATTCAGTAAATGCAATGTAAATGATATACATTTTCTCTTTCTGAGTTAATGTGCACATATATGCAAATTTCATTGTTCATTAATTCCTTAAAACCCACGCAGTAAAAGCTAAGCTTTCTTTACAATCCCTTGAAAATTTTATAATATAAAACTAAGCCATCAAACTATGTGTATGCTTTGGAAATGATTTGAAAGAGGTACTTTGGAATGTGCAGCAAAAAGAATACGGCCTGTTTAAGCAGTCACATCTGTTTCTAGACTTTCCCATGATCTTGAAAAAGAGACATAGCTGTATTCATAAATAAAAAAATGATGCAGCTGCTTAAAGTGTTTCCTTGTAATATCCTCACTGGAAATGTTTCACAACACTGCTCCAATAGCATCAGAATCTAATTGTTATTCCTGATTTGAGACCTTTCTTGACCTATCAACTTAGACTTAAAAGAAAATAGTGAGACACTTCAAATTTGACTTGCAGCCAACTTATAGTTATCATGATCAATACATGTGATAGTTTGGTGATACTGTAAATTCTAGTCACTTCTTAGGCATGGAGGCTGGCTGGGTGAGTTTGGAGTGGTCACTATCCCTCAGTCCAATTCATTTCACAAGGCAAATGTTGTAAGGAAAGTATAAGAGAAAAGCATTATGTATGTTGCCTTCAGTTGTACAAATAAGAGTGGGATATAATAGTAATAGCACTTATATACCGCTTTATAGTGCTTTACAGCCCTCTCTAAGCAGTTTAAAGAGTCATCCTCTTGCCCCCAACAATCTGGGTCCTCATTTTACTGACCTCAGAGGGATGGAAGGCTGAGTCAACCTTGAGACAGTCAGGATCTAACTCCTGCCAGTGGGTAGAGTTAGCCTGCTCTGGATTATGAATTCTAGGCAGTTTTGATGACAAGATGAGATGACATGAGTTTCCATCCTTGCTTATCTCAATGAAGGGCGAACTTTGTTTTGTAAAAAAGAGAGTAAATTTCCAAATGCACTGTATTTGCTATTGAGATGAAGATGTTTCCTCTTTCTACATGGACTTTTGGACTACATTTTGTAACATATATATAGATATGTGTCAGGCACAAAGAATCAGGACCACCAGTTAGCTTGTAGCATAGAAGATTTATGCAAGCTTATACACAGGAATCTGATTAGTTAAAGTTCAACATTAAATTAGTGTTCAATAAAGGAATGGAATTTAATAGAATTCAGGAGTGTTTGGACTTGGAACAAATGTGGGAATGCAACAACTCTAAGCTGATGATTCATTTAACTCCACTCTCCAGCTCAATCGGCCCTTCTCCTGCGGTATGATCATATAGATTGAATAGACCAGGCATGTCAAACTCGCGACGTCACGTGATGTCGCGCAACGTATTGGGAGAGTTTTGCCATTGCTGGCAATGGAGTGGGCGCGGCATCCGCATGACACATCCGGCCCGTGGGCCAGCAGTTTGACACCCCTGGAATAGACTGATGCTAGAGAGATAAGTCAAGAAAAGACTTTATCTTGTTGTCTTGACCTTCTCCACCCTAGTGTCTTCCAGATGAGTTAGCCTGGTTTTCCCAGAAGTCTTAACTCTGATTTGGAATTCTGAGTGCTGCAATCCTGACACATCTTAATCAGCATTAAAAGAGGGGCGGGGCAGATTTACCTTCACCTTTTGGGAAAGTTAAGTTCTGAATTATCAAGGATAATGCCTTCACAAAATGAATCATAACCTTTACAATAAGCCCCGAAGGCCTTTCTCTCTGTGTTGAGCATATAGGCTAAATGCTGGAACATTTTGAGCAGATGTTAGTTGATGCATTAAGATATCTATAAAGGAGAAATGATTATAATTATGCCGTTAGTCAGAACGGCTCCGCACATGCCCTTCAGTTGAATGAGAAGAATCATTTTCTCAGAGTTGCAAAATGGCTGCCATTGGCACATTATGCCATTGTCTTTCTGTCTGTATCCAGATGCTCTGTCTGCAAATGGTCTCCTCTGGCTTTTAGAAAGAAAGAAGAAAGGGCATCAACTAATCACTGCATTTGAAGCCCAGTGCATTGTCTTCTGTGTTCACCACCTCCCATGCCAGTAAGTGAGCTGTTGTTTTCCTACTTAGTTTGCCTGGGCATGTGTCCTCTTTTCAGATAAAATCACCACTTTCCCACTCAGCTGTTCTGATTTCATGAAGAGGAACCTGATTGCAATATTATTCTTCCATCAGCTACATAAAAGATTTAAAAAAAAAAGTCTTTTCAGGAATCCTAGAGGGTTTGATGAAATTACATTTCAGTAGGGTGTAAGTCGGTTGAGCTCACTAGCACAACTGATCCCAGCAGCTGCAAGGGAGCTTCAAGGCTTGATTAGAGAAAAGTGGGCTGTTGTACTTTATTTAGCAATTTGTAGAATGTAATACTTGGAGTTGTTTTTGTTTTTTGTTTTCCTTTCCTTCTGGTGGTTGGAGAAGTCCTTTCCTTCTGCCTATAAGCCAGAGGTGATGTGACATATGATCTGTTAATTCTTTCTGTATTTCTAAAAACATTAACGGAGCTGTGGAGAAAGAGGAAAAACATATTAAAGTTCTAAGAAGTGCCAGGTCAGAGAAAAAACCTCTGTGTTTGTAACAGAATAAAAGAGTTAGAAGGGACTTTGGAGGTCTTCTAGTCCCGAGCGAGAAATCCTATGTCATTTCAAACAAATGGCTGTCCAATCTCTTCATAAAAATCTCCAGTGTTGGAGCATCCACAGTTTCTGGAGGCAAGTCATTCCACTGGTTTATTGTTCTCACTGTCAGAACATTTCTCCTTACTTCTAGGTTGCTTCTCTCCTCGATTAGTTTCCATCCATTGCTTCTTGTTCTGCCTTCAGGTGCCTTGGACAATAGGCTGACCCCATCTTCTTTGTGGCAGCCCCTCAGATCTTGGAAGATTGCTATAATGTCACCTCTAGTTCTTCTTTTCATTACAGTAGACCACAGGTGGGCAACCTGCAGCTCTGGAGCCGCATGTGGCTCTTTGAGCCTTCCCCTGCGGCTCCCAGCCTCCTCTGCCATTTGCAGAGAGAGACAGAGACAGAGACAGAGAGAGGCACTTGCGCTTCCTGCTTCTCTCTCTCTCTCTCTCTCTCTCTCTCTGTTTGTGTGTGTGTTTGTGTGTAAAAAAGAGAGTGGACTCACGGTCTTCTCCCACGAGCTGAAAAGCTTACTGGGCGGAGCTCCTCCCTTTGCTGCATCTCTGCAGGAAGCAGGAAGCAGGAAGGGCAGGAGAGAGCTAGCTAGCCCAGCTATGCTGACTCAGGAATTCTGGGAGTTGAAGTCCATGAGTCATAAAAGAGCCCAGGTTGCCTATCCCTGAGCTTGTTGGAGAACAGCTTGAAGCCAGCTTGCCAGGTAAGCAGAAGAGGGGGGGGGGGAGAGAGAGAGAGAGACCCTTTTGACATCTAAAATGAAGCTAATACTGCATATATCCTTTTTTACCTTTATGATATATGTGTGTGTGTGTATGTACACACACACACACACACACCCCTATACCTATAATAAAGGTAAAAAAGGTTATATGCAGTGTTAGCTTCATTTTAGATATCCAAAGGGTTTTGCGGCTCCCAGTGTTTTGTTTTCGGTGGGAAACGGGTCCAAGTGGCTCTTTGAGTGCTTTGGGTTGCCTACCCCTGCACTAGACATACCCAATTCCTGCAACCGTTCCTCATACGTTTTAGCCTTCAGTCCCCTAATCAGCTTTGTTGCTCTTTTCTGCATTCTTTCTAGAGTCTCAACATCTTTTTTACATCATGGCGACCAAAACTGGATGCAATATTCCAAGTTTAGTTAGAAATGGAATTACTGTAAGTGTACCAGACTTTTTAATGGTTAACAAACCTAGAACGAACTCCACAGCCACTTCATATAGCTGTGAAAAGTGCAATTCCCTCTTTTGAACACTGAATCTGTTTTCACTTGCAGTTATTGTTTATTCTGTAATAACAAAATCTGTAAATCCTCCAACATACACCACGGGCAAGGCTTTTGACTATTTCTAGACAAAGGTCTGCAAACTTCTTTTATATCTGGACTAGTCAGCAGTAATATTGGCAGAGCCATTTCAGTTATGAAAGTTGTGATTTCCCCCCCCCCCCCCAGGTTACTTTATTAGCCATGAGTTTTCACGAAGTGATCCCTGTGTACAATGCCTGGATATAAATTAGGTGAATGAATATAAGCCTTGGCCTGTTCGTCAGTTGGATAAGAATAGTAACACATTTTATAAAACATCTGAAGGAAAAGTAATTTTCTATTCAGGTCTGTGGTTCCTGTATGATATTTGTGGGTCTAATAAAGAAGAATATTTTTATCACAGGGTTGAAATGGGGAGCCCTTGTTGCTCTCTGAGCTTGGTTATTTTCTTGCAGATGTTTCATTAGCCAACTAGGTAAGACCATCAAACTAGCACTGATGTTACCTCTTTTGGGTAATGAAACATCTGCAAGAAAACAGCCAAGCTCAGAGAGCAACAAGGACCCGTCATTTGTGGGTCTATAGCAGGGGTGTCAAACTGCCGCCCCACCCCGCGCCCACCCCATTGCTGGCAATGGGAAAAAAGTCGCAATGCATTTTGACACGTCATGTGACTTTGCAAGTTTGTCACCCCTGGTGTATAGAGAGAGAGAGAGAGAGAGAGAGAGAGAGAGAGAGAGAGAGAGAGAGAGAGAGAGAGAGAGATATACACACACATACACATACTGACATTGTCTGTATAGTGGCAGTGACATCATAAAGATTCTGCAAAGAAATAGAATTTCTTAGAATTCCCCAAGGGAACAAAAAGGAAGTGGAAAAAAATGGCCCACAAGCCAGGAGTCCTACGTACCATCAACAGCTGGTCTGAAGAATTTGGAGGCCAGTGTAGTGATTATCTCCAGCTGGCCTTTATCACTTCTTGTCTCTTTATTTTTGTGGGAGGTATCATTATCATCTTGATGGTCAGAGTAATCCGATACGTATTACATGGGTGTTTCTTTAGATATTCCATTCGATTTCAGGTAAGCCAATAGAAAGGGAATGGGGCAAAACTCTGTTAGGATTATATATCTGAGTATTGTATCTTACACATGAAGTTAAAATCAGATAGAGAGTTACATGTAACGGAAGTGGAATATCTTGGACTCTTCTGAGAATTCAGATGGAGAATCGGTGCTTTGATTGCATGTTATTGATGTATCCATTTGATATTCATTGCTTATTTACAATATTCCCTAGTGACCTATGGATCCCCACTCTCCATTCCCTGAAGAAAACAAACCCTACTTTATCACCATTTGAATTTCACCACACTTGGGAAGAGAAGCAGGATATTAAATATAAAATAATGTATCCTTACATTTCCGGATAACTTTCTATTAAAACACTCTGATGAGAAACTGGCATTTCAGTTGAGAGTGCTTTTTTAAGGGCTTTTCTGTCCCTTCCTTTCCAGATGTCATACTTTATGGTTCATAATTCACTGGAAGTTTTTAAGAAGAGATTGGATAATCATTTGTCTGAAATGGTATAGGGTTTCCTGCCTGAGCAGCGTGTTGGACTGAGTCCCTTCCAACTCTGTTATTGTGTTATAATCCTAAAATAACCAGTGGAAAGGAATATTATTGAGATTGAATTGTGGTTGTGCAATAGCCAAATAACTAAATAAATCTGTTTGAGAGCAATTCCAGAATAAATTTTTGGCCCTGCACCATATAAGAGGCACACACAGAAGGCAATTAAATAAGGCCCTTGTTTTAATGTAGACGAGCAGCGTAAAGTCTTAACATTTATTTTTATCTTGATAGCTGTTTACCAATAAGATGCTCCTGATGAGTTTTTGGAAAGGAAAGTTCCAAGACAGGGTGGTTATGATGATCTCAGCTCAGACGTCTATAGGCCGTATTCTGGTGAGTTGTTTTAAAGGTGGCCAAAAGATTATACTGCAGAATGATTTAATGATTATTTCAGCATTTGATGATTAGGCACAAGAGTCAATGCTTCGGCTACTAAAATAGAATTTTCCACGCACAGGAGACAGGCATCTGCAAGTCTAAAGGTGTCCCAATGTTTATAAAAATGCAGAAAGAAAAGTGATACCAAACCCTGCAAGAGAAGATTTCATGGAACACACTTAAAATGAAATAGTGTCATAGGGGGGGGAAAATGACTGATAAGATTACTGCTTTGGTGTTACTAAAACAGGCTTACTAGGTCTACCTTATACGCTAAACATAAATGCAAAAAAAGCTAAAGGGAATGGGGAAGTCTACATTAATTTTAAATCGTTATCTATTGTGGATTTCATCAGGAATATTTTTATCATAAAGTGGAATCCAGATGAAATGATGGACGCATACATAATGACAGGAAGGATGACTATGTCTTTACTGCGATTACATGAGAAATATGTCAAAACTCGTTTAAATTGAATTCAACTCTGGATGAATTTGTGGGTATGGACAATATGGGGTTGTTGCTTTTTTTGGCAAAATAGAACAAAAATCTGCCTTTGCCTTCATCCAGGATGTTCTAGTTTCCTAGTTTAGCAATAGGCTTAGTTTCCATCCAAATTTCAACCATATTAGACTTTGCTTTGCTCTTAAATCAGCTTAACAGTAAGGCTGTATAAAATAAAGAGTTAGGATAAACCTTTCATGGAATAGTTAATTTTTGAGGAAAGATTTAAATATTGATTAAGCAGGTGAATGGCGATACTATTGGTTGGTGATAATAAAAAAGATTTTGTCAGGACTATCAATTCAGGAATTCGGTTGCTGTCACCTTCTGAAAAAAAATATCACATGATATATCTGAAAGACTAACTTTTAAAGACAGCCAATTTAGACGATTGATTCACTGCAATTAATATTGAAGAACATTATTTATATAAGCACCTTCAAACACCTCCATCTCAATTCCTGTATGTTTTTCTCTGGCCATTCTAAATGTAGTTTTCCTTCCTTCAGATCAGTGTTTTGATTCCAGGACAGCTGCTTGGAATAAGTCTGCAGTTTTCTTGGCAAGATTTCCATAGAGAAGAATATTTGTAACTTGGGGTTGAAATGAAAGATTCTTGGTGCTCTCTGAGCTTGGTTGTTTTCTTGCAGATGTTTCATTACCCAAATGAGGTAACATCATCAGATGTTACCTAGTTTGGGCAATAAGAGGTCTGCAAGAAAACATCCAAGCTCAGAGAGCACCAAGGATTCTTCATTGGGAAAGTTCTGAGGTGAATTGCCATGGCGTCCTTCCTAGGGTTTGAGAGACAGCCTAAAGCTCGCATTATTTAATTGAAAAGTTTTCTCCCACCGGTTTTTTCCCTTTAACAAAATTTGTTGACCTCTAATAGTGACCAAATACAAAATACATACAATGTAACTTCACCATTACCTCCTATAGATTATTTTAAAACTAAGAATGTGGAGGGTTATCAAGAACTCACACTCTAGGTCATACTGTCAGTTTACGGTTTACACCGTGATTCGAATCTTTTTGATCTTTGCTTAGAAACCTCTGTTTTAAATTAGACTGGCAAATAAACAGTGAACTAATTATATGTAGGTTTCTGTTTTAGGTAATACTGGTGTTCCTATTTAGTATTGGATCACTCATCATTTACTTCATCAACTGTTACAGGTAATTAGAACCTAGTAATTTATTCTAGGTATATGTCTTTCTTTAAAAAAATGTATTTCACATGTCTGTGTTAATTTTTATCAAAATATAGTTGCTTCTCTCTCTCTCTCTCTCTCTCTCTCTCTCTCTCTCTCTCTCTCTCCCTCCCTCCCTCTTTCTTTCCTTTGGTTAAAAAAAGCCATTTAATCAATGGAAAGAAATACATCAAACCTACCATAGACTAAATTAAATTGAGTTCAACCCCTAGCTATTCCGTGTGCATATTTTCTTGTAAGAATACAACATTGATTTGCTGTTTGCCTCCTCCTAGGGTATTGTGTGCTGGCTTTTTGTGTGTGGCTAATTTCCAATCTAGCCCTCAGCTGTGAATATTTTTATGGTGGTTTCCCATAAAAGTATGAACCAGATCTTATCCTGCTTACTTTGGCCAGATACTGCCATCTGCTGTAAGACAACCATACATTTTCTGCAGTTTTCTTGGCAAGATTTTTCAGAAGTGGTTTGCCCTTGCCTCCTTCCTAGGGCTGAGAGAGAAGGACTGGCTCAAGGTCACCCAGTTGGTTTTGTGCCTAAGGGGGGACTAGAACTTAGAGTCTCCTGGTTTCTACCCTGATGCCTTAACCACTATGCCAGACTGGTATACCTGGATATCCGGACCTAAAAGCTGTCGTCTATTTAGGGACAATGGAGGATCAGAGGCTCATTCCTGTCATTGCAGAAATGCTCTGTGCACTCAAAGCATGCAAGGTCTCTGCAGAGGCTATGCAGCTGCTTTGCAGCACTTCCTACTGTGGTTGTTCGACACGGTGCTGTGTAGTCATGCAGTCATTCCAGAAGGCACTGCAAAAGGAACCCAACATCCAAGGAGAGTCCCACGCTGTTACAAACATCTGGAATATTTTGTTCTAAAACGAAGGAAAAGTTCGGTCACCTTCCAAAACTTTAAAGATGAGAGATGTTAGGTCGATTTTATTCCTGCTTGTGTTTATTCCATTGTGGTTCAGTTGGGAAGAAAGAACTCAGGGGTCATCCCCAGAAGCATCTGTGAAATTATTCTTTTGTATCCCTAAGGACAGTTCTATGATAGGTTCTAGGTCTCTCTCTGTCTTTAATGAATTTACTTCTGTTATCGCTATTGAAATAGCAATGTACAGGTGGTCCTCGGCTTATGACCACAACTGAGCCCAAGATTTCTGTTGTTAAGTGAGATATTTGCTAAGTGAGTTTTGCTCCATTTTACGGTCTTTCTTGCCTCTGTTGTTAAGGGAATCACTGCAGTTGGTGAGTTAGTAACCTGGTTGTTAAGCGAATCTGACTTCCCCATTGACTTTGCTCGTCGGAAGGTAGCAAAAGGTGATCACATGACCTTGGCACACAACAACGGTCATAAATATGGACCAGTTGCCAAGCATCTGAATTTTGATGACACGATCATGGGGATGCTGCAAAGGTCATAACTGTGAAAAACGGTCATAAGTCACTTTTTACCGTGGTGTTGTAACTTTGATCCATCACTAAACAAACAGTTGGAAGTTGAGGACTACCTGTAATTAATCCTCTTTTTAGTCTAGTGCTTTTGCATTAAACTACAATATCCATATTCTGCTAAAGGTACTGTATTTATCTGGTCAGCATCCTAAATTCAGGCTGTGCATATACAGAAACCTCCGGAGTACCCCATGCTGTGAAAACAACTACTATATCTTTTCGATACTCACAGCGGGAACATCTTCCACTTTTGAAAGATATAAGCCACATTTTTCAAAAAAGAGATTTCCCCCCACTTGGTTGGAAAAAACAGCACCATCATTTTTTTTGCAAAATGCAAATCAAACCAGCTTTGGCAATTTCATTCTGTCATTCCTCACTTGTCAACAACACAAAATGTGGAAACTGTCAAAAATGTCAAATGAAATTTGAAATTCTGCTTGTTGATATTCTGCAGTGTACAGTGTGAATACGGCTTGGCTCAAACGCTGCCAGCTTTTGAATCATCCAATTAAATCTCCCCCTCATGGTAATATCAAATGCTTTACACTGGAGAAGGAATCAAGCACTGAATTCTCTTCTGTATAGGAGCCAGCATGTTTGTAGTGTGTGTGTGTGTGTGTGTGTGTGTGTGTGTGTGTGTGTGTATAGGTCTGTGCGTGCGTATGAAGCATAATCTGTATTTCCCATGGAATCCATACAGAGGCAAAGGGGGGCAAATGATGACATGCATTTTGTGACACTATTATACAAATAATGCCTTCATGAATTTCCCTCAAGTATCATCCATTACTTCTTGTCCTGCCTTCAGGTGCTTTGGAGAATAGATTGTCCCTCTCTTCTTTGAGTCAGACCCTCAGATTGGAAGACTGTTATCATGTCATCCTTAGTCCTTCTCTTTTCTATATTAGACATGCCCAGTTCCTGCAGTTTTCATCCTATGTTTAGCTTCTAGCCCTCTAATCATCCTTATTGCTCTTCTTCACTTTTTTTTTAGCTTTCCAGCCTTAGTTGTGAGCATATAATGTTTTTCCCTTTTTGTGTAGTCTTTGGCTCCTTCCTTTGCTATAACAAAGCCTTTCCAGATTAAGAACCAGCCTTGGCAATAATCTGAGTCCTGGCAATGATCTGAGTCCTGGCCAGGCACCATAGAAGGGTTGAGTTTGTTGATAGAGTCCACACATCTGGATTTAGAGTCAATCACACACACAACCATCTCCCAGAAATGAATTTCATGAAAACATATAGATTTCTTACGAATGAACTCAGACACATGACCCTGAATTCTAATTTTCAATTCCCTTCTTGCTCTGATTTTTTAATGATTATTAAAAAATTGATTTCAATTTTTTTTCAGTTGATTTTCCAAATAATCATGAATGTCCTGTCTTACTATAAACAACGATTTCTTTTTTCCCCCTTTCTACAGTGTTAAAGAGTTTTGTCTCACCTTTCAAGACCAGACAATTGTAATTGATCTATTCTTTAATTTATTTTTTCTTCTGTACTTTGGATTGCGGGTAAGAAATATTTGCCATTGAAAATATTTTAAAAGTGTTGGGTGAAATAGAATAAGAGAATAAGATCCAGGAATGGTTCATAATAGCAGTGCTATTATTCTGTAATTTTCATATTCTTCCAAATTTTGCTAGTTTTGAGTAACTTTTTAAACAATTTGTAGAAAAGTGCATGCCTGTGAAAATAGGCACACATTTTGACAAAAAGGTATCCCATAACCTGTTTTACTTATTTATTAAATTTATTTGCTATCCGTCTCACCATGAAGAGACTTATAATGAATACAAAATTGTATTAGTTTAGAGAAATATGCCAAAAAATGCTTTAGATAGAAGCTGGTGAAAATATGGAGTAGAATGTTGTAAAAACAGGAATATTTTTACAATATTCAATATAAGACTTGACAAATTATTTCACTGATAGAACTATTAATTCCCTACTTTAAATTTTAGGTAGGCCTGAGGGAAAATAACGATATCACTCAGGCTGTGAGTTCTCATTTGATATTACCCCCCCTTTTTTTGAAGTCTGATCACATCATGAAGCAAAAAGACCAGATAGGGAATGAAGAGTTTCATTATCTATGACATTGTGCAGTGTTGTGGTTTTGTTTGTTTTTGTGTTTATTTTTTTTTAGTTTTTGGCAGCCAGTGACAAGCTAGCATTCTGGTTGGAACTTAATTCCATTGTGGATTTCTTTACCATAACTCCAGTCTGTATAGCCTTCTATCTCGGAAGAAATTGGCTTGGTAAGTACACACCTCAATTGTATGTGTCTGTGGAGATTCTCAGTCATCCAGGTCATGGTTGTCCCAAAGGTGCTTTTTCAAGAGACAACTGAATTTCCTTTGTTTTTCCTTGAAGACGTTTTGCTTCTCATCCAAGCTTCTTCAGTTCTCTCCTGAGAAAACATCTGAGAAATTAGATGCCTGTTAAGGGCAAGAGAATAAAGTGAATGAAGGATTCCTTCTTATAAACTGTCAAAAATGGCTGAGGCCATTTTGATTCTCCTTAGGAATTATTTATGGAATTCAGTAACTTCAGATTTTCTGTAATGTGCCATATTTAACGTGGCATTCAATGGGACCAAATATATATTTATGGCAACCATCCCATATCAAATGCATTTGGCTTTTAATTCTCTGCAAAATGATAATAATACCACCTACTGCCTAGAAATTAGTTAAATAGGTATGCATTATTTCAGTCTAAATGTTGCTGCCATGCTTCAATCACCAGAAAAAGAAAAGATAGTTTCACCTATTTCCTCATTTCCTCCTCTTTATAGGTTTACGCTTCCTAAAAGCATTGAGATTAATGGAACTTCCCAAAATTTTGCAGTTCCTCCAAATCACCACAAGTGGGTAAGACAATTTTTCTTTGTGTCATTAGTAACCCATCTGTCTGTTTTGTGCTTCCAACTGGCTTTTGTGCATTGGTCAGCTAGAACAAAATCAAAGTTGTCTCCAGCTCAAAATAGGTTGATGTCCTTTGTCCCAATTTGAAGAGAAGGCTGCTAATCCTGCTCAGGTTAGCTGAACTGTGTGACCCTAAACATCAGGTGTCTCTTGAAGGTTAATAATCCCTCTCGCAGTCGGGTACAAAAGACCAGGTCCTCACAGTGAAGGTTCAATTAAATCGATTTATTGCTATAGCTTATGCACAAGAATCTTCTTGTAACAGTACCTGATTAGAGTTAGATAAGTGTTAATGGCTCTGAAGGAGGGTTGGACTTTGTGACTATATATGGATTCTAGGCTGATCCCCCTTTTCACTCCACCTCTAGGTTCCGCCACTCCCTCTTTCACATTTGCACTTTCCTCTAAAAAAATATTTTTTATTCATGGGTTGCCCACTTCTTCAATCTTCTGAACCATATTCTGCACTCTCTTGCATGTAATTCCCATTTAGACCACTCCTATTGGTTCACTTCCAACATCCCCGAAAATGCCTTATCCAGAATCATATCAAATCTTCTCATAATTTACCTCCAATTAACATCTCCCAGCTGTTTTCTTGTTTGCCCAACCATCCACCTTGCAAGTCAGTTTTACTGCTTGCTCATGGCTCTCCAATGTACTAGATGATGGTTAGGCCTTGATCATGCCTTTGTTGCTCTCCAATACTTGTTGGTCAAAACAAACTACTATTACTTGTCAGACAAAACAGGCTTATATGTCTCGTAACTCCATCCGCAGTGTGTTGTACTAATGCAATGTTATCTGTCTTTGCATTACCCAAAAATAGATCCAACGTTTTCCTTTTTTGCATGGATTTTTTTTCCTGGGAGTTGTAGATATGGGAGTTGTAACAGGTATGGGACTCTGTAAAAGTTGGGCAATTTAAGATACTTCAGCCTTGGGTCTCTGGTGATTTCAGTTAGATTTCAGGTTCCTCTTTTAGAATTTTCTCTTAATGCCCTCAACAACTCTATGAGGAAAGTACAAACAGAATAACAGGGTTGGAAGGGTATTCTAGTTCAAACCCTTGCTTATACTTTATCAGACAAATGGTGTCCAATCTCTTCTTAAAAACCTCCAGTCTTGGAGCACCCACAACTTCTGGAGGCAGGTTCTTCCACTAATTAATTATTCTAACTGTCAGGAAATCTCACCTTAGTTCTAGATTGGTTCTCTCCTTGATCAGTTTCCATTAAGGACAGAATAACCTAGAACTAAGGAGAAATTTCCTGACAGTTAGAAAAATTGGAACAACTCGCCTCCAGAAGTTGCAGGTGCTCCAACACTCCAACAATTCTGTATGGTATATACAACTACTACTGAGATTGTTTTGTAGTAGTGTTTTATTTAAAAAAGAACTGGGGTAATCAAAATTGAATGAATTGAGCTACAAAGAATCCTAGGACAAACTGTCTACTCTATTTGAACTGTAACAATTCAAACCCTACCATTATGGGCTGATAAACAACCTCTAATGCTTTGATTCCTTTTGGTAGCACAAAGGGGAGTGAAAACCTTTTATTTATGATATGATTATTAGTTGTCTCCCTCCATGGGCCACTGTGGGATCTACAGGGCCAGAAACAGGATGAGAAATGTAATTAATGAATCAATCAATGTCCACTTGAGTTAAGAACATTAATTAATAGTGCCTCACTTGGAAGACCCTCAAAGGATTAAATGGAGGTGAATGTTGCACCTGTTCCTTTGAAACTCATCCCTATCAACCCTCTCCTTGCATGTTCAGTACTGCAATCAAGCTGTCCAAACTGCTAGCTGTATTTGTCAGTACCTGGCTCACGGCTGCAGGATTTCTTCACTGGGTATGTATCAAATGCCTGATGAAAATGCCAGCAAGAACATATGTCTTGGTTATTTAACAGTGAAGGTAGATTTCATGCTGAATGTCCTGACTGAATGTAGCTTTTTTCAAATTAAACTGCAGGGTTTTTAACTTTGAACCAGCTTGCATTCTATAGTTCTAACCTGCGATGCTCCCTAAAATATATTTTAACTTAAGCTGACATTAACTTACATTGGATTCAAGATTTTTTGTTCTATAGATGCTGGCAGACGTAGTGATCAGTGAATAGCAATATCACTTAGACTTACACAGTATACTGCTACACCGTGCTTTACAGCCTTCTCTAATCTGGGTCCTTATTTTAGTGACTTTGGAAGGGTGACAGGCTGAGTCAACCTTGAGCCGGTCAGGATCGAACTCCTGGCAGCGAGCAGTGAGATAGCCTGCAATATTGCATTCTAACCACTTTGCCACCGTGGCTCATTTTAAACAGTAACATAGGAAACATCGATGTAAATTTTTATTTGATGTTTGTGAGTATTGCATGCCAAACATTTGCATATTCAAGAGAATCTCTTTTTTTACTACACGGCTCTTATTTCAGATTTCTTGCCATTTTGTATCTGTCCTGACACCCATTTGTGGTGATGCCTGCAATATGTTATCAAAATCCCAAATGTTTTTATGTTCAACAACTTTGAACTTCTATTGAAATTCATCTGTTGAGGCTTTTCCCAAATTAATATGATTCTCCTCCTCAAAGCTTTCTCTATTATATCCACTGACTAGGTTAGTGCATTCTAAACTTGGATTAGCGAAAAACAGGCACTCTATTCACACATTATGTTATGTTAAAGCTGATAATAATAATAATAATAATAATAATAATAATAATAATAATAATAATAATAATAATAATAATAATAATAATAATAAAGTTGGAAGGGACCTTGGAGGTCATCGAGTCGCTAAAAACATGGGTTCCTGGACTTCTTATATATCTCACATCACTTTCATGAAGTCTGTGTTAATTTTATTTTATTAGACAAGAAAACATATACATATACATATAGTATTGCAAAAGTTTGTATATCAGCAGTTAATATGTGTAAACAATTAGACATGGGTTCACATGTTCAATATCTTTATATGGATCTATTTTGATAATTATTATTTAGCTGGCATATCAATACCATTTATTTTGTTTTTAACTTGTCTGTAAAACCTAGATGTAATAAATGGTTTTTGTACATCTCAGCAGACTAGGCAAAAATGAGGTTCAATTCATTTCAGAATAGAGCTGGAAGGGACCTTGGAGGTCTTCTAGTCCAACCCACTGCTCAAGCAGGAGATCCTGTCCAGTCTCTTCTTAAAAACTTCCAGTGATGAAGCACCCACAACTTCTGAAGGAAATCTGTTCCACTGGTTTATTGTTCTCACTGTTAGGAAGTTTCTCCTTAATTCCAGGTTGCTTCTCTCTTTGATTAGTTTCCATCCATTGATTCTTGTCTTACCGTCTGGTGCTTTGGAAAATAGATTGACCCCTTCTACTTTGTGGCAGCCCCTCAAATATTGGAACACTGCTATCATGTCTCCCCTAGTCCTTCTTTTCTCTAGACTAGCCATACCCAGTTCTTATGCTGTACTATTTATTATACAGATGGAGAATTCTGGAGATCCCTGGGTATATCACAGCAATCATCAAACCTTGACTTACTTTGAATGCTTATATCTGATCATGGTAACTATGTCTACAGTTGGATATGGAGATGTTGTGGTCAAAACCACCATAGGACGTGTGTTCATACTTTTCTTCATTGTTGGTGGTCTGGTAAGGAACTATATTAGGATTTGGATGAACACATTTAAGTCAGCTCCACTTCATATATTGTGTTGCCATGTAAGGTGCCTGAGAGGTGGAGCCTGCTAGCAGAGAGTGAAAACAATAAAATTGTGAGAATCTAAAAAAAATCAAGGGTATCGCTTATAAAGAAAAATGTACCCTAAGCAGTAATAATATAATATTCCACCATGGACAATCAGGAATAACAGAGTCTTGCTCTGTGATCTATAGAGTTGATCAGGAATTCTAGAAGTTTTCTCCTATGATCAATAGAATTATGTTGCTTGTAAATACAGTACATATGTTCAAGCACAATTTGTATACGCTGCCCTTTCTAAAAGGTGCTGAAAAAAGAATAAAAAATGGAGCAACTCTCAATCAAAATCAATATACAGTATATTTAAAGGTCTTGAATTATGCTAGATATTTTCTAGGGATAGCAATAGCACTTAGACTTGTATACCACTCCATAGTACCTTACAGCCCTCTCTGAGCAGTTTACAATATCAGCATATTTCCCCCAACAATCTGGGTCCTCCTTTTACCAACCTAAGAAGGATGGAAAGCTGAGTCAAGCTTGAGCCAGTCAGGACTGAACTCCAGGCTGTGGGCAGAGTTAGCCTGCAATACTGTATTCTAACTACTGTGCTGCCACAGCTCATCCCAGATATTGTTGAGAAGTCACCAAATGGATTTATTGTGCCCACTGCCAATTTCCTTATGCCAACTTTATGATTTTGGGGGAAATTTGGTGGGCATTTTTAGTACAAATTTACA